ATAGCTGTGGCAGAATGTCTTCATGCGTGCGATGGCTGAGGCGTGTTCTGTGTGTGTTAGACCACACCCCGTTTTTCGTTGACCTGTACTGCAGGATTACCAAATGCATTATGTACATGCAGTTAATTCAGCATTATCATTACTCTCATTAGCATGGATTTACTTTCATTATGTTTTCAATTTGAGATTTTCTCTCCAGTGGAACCAGTCCGGAGATGATGCATATGGATGAATGATGCGCCGATTTTTCGGATCTTCAGAATTGTTTGTAATGTTAACGAGTTGACGACGAGGTATTCGTGAATATCGTGCGCTATTAGCCGATGAATTTCTAGGATAAGTGGATAGTCTGTTGGCATAAGCCCGTTATAATCAGCGCGAACTGCATTCAGTTGGATGGTACGAGCATCACCCAGGCCTTTACCAGCCACTGGTGTGCGTGATGCGGATGGTACATTAATATATCATCGAGCAAGAGCAGCGCCTTGTAGAAGGGTTGTGGAACGTATGGAACAATGTGGTTGGTTTTTTATTCGTTCGCCTTATCATTTGTAAACGTCTCAGTTCGATTGATTCCATTCCAATCATTACGATCAGTGATTATTGAACTGCTTTAAGGTGTTGAAATAAGAAAGGGACACTTTACCGAAAAAGAAGATGAGATTCTTCGCAAGGTTTGTTACAGATTTTCTTTATTCCAACTTTTGGCTTGTTGACTTGAAATGAACAAAACGATGCTGTATGTTGCTAACTGGTCTATTTCTCAGAACTGGTCAATGTTTGCCCAAAAGCACGGATTGGATGATGATGCAGCGTTTGAATATTCCGGTGGTTACAGTTATGAGAAGATGAAAAATGGTGACTTTCAAAAACATGTGAAAAAGCTCTTCGACATGCAGTTCGTTCCCAATATGTGTATGTTTGTTTATTTATTTGTTCGTGAACGAATGAACGATAATACGAATAGCATTCAAATCTTTACTTCATTATGCAATCCTCTTTCATTGTTCTATTCAAGGTAGAGGTTTGGATCAACGAACTGGTTACCAGGTAATATGGAGACTTCATTATTTATTCCGACCGAGGGATCAAAATCTGTCCAAATACACGTAAGTATAATTCTATCATCGTTTTGTTACTGTTTTGATTTAAGTTATGTTTTTTAGAAAACAAACACATAAAACATTAGGTGCAATCTTAACAATTAGTATAGGTTTTGCTTGTAGTCTGTTTCAGAACTGAATTTTAACAATGAACTTTGACGTGAAAAACAGGTGAACAGATGAGTAAAGTGAGCAGAATTTAATGTTGAGAACGGTTGGTGAACAATTCATCACTTCAGGGATTGGAAAATTATAAACAAATGGACTCCAGAAAGACTGGAAACTTTGAAAGAGTTAGTGAAACTCGGCTTCGGTCCACTGGAAATAGTACACAGAATGCAAATAAGCCGTGATTCGGTGGTGTATCATATGCGGAAATTGGGTTTGGATGAGGCGTTTGATGAATCGACCTATGATTCGACTCCACTGAAAGAGATGACTGCAAACGAAAGAGCTTACTTCTTCAGTTGGTTTTGCATGTTCTCTTGATTGATGAACTTATTCGAATCGATCAACACTTTTGGTTCCTGTGCGAAGCTCTTTCTTGATATGATCTCGAGGGAGTGAGTGATTCGATAGCAATTGAAATGTGCATTTAGCGTTTAGGTAATGAAATGAAGGTAAATTTTAGAATACATAACTTATGCTGCTGGAAGAAGCACCGCACAACGTTATCCATCACTAAGCGCAGTCTTGGAACTATTCGAATCAAAGGAGGAAATCGATTACGCAGTGGTTGCTTTGAATATGACCGCAGTGAGGATGACTGCTAGTCAGGCGAAACGTTACTGGTGAGTTCGATTTAGTTGCTGCGTTGAGAAAGTGTGTGCTTCACTTCACTTCTGAGTCTATTTCACGTCAGTTGGTCCTCATTAATCAATTCATCAGTCAAGCATTCAGCCACCTAACCAACAGAATGTTGTATGGGTTTAGTGGACTAATGCTGGTTTGCTGTTGAAAATTCTGATCATTCTGAAAACTTTCCATTCATTTATTCAGGTTGTACGAAGGAGAAAAGCTGAAAAAGGCATACGAGGAATGCGGACGTAATATGAACCGAGTGAGTCGGCTATACAATCTGCCATCGAGAAGGATGAATACGCTAGAATGGCAGCGAACAGTGGCAATTATTCGTGAGCAGAATCCAGTGAATGTTCGAGATATCGACAAGAATCTTGTGCACCAGAGGTTTATTTCTTGTGATTGTTGGTTGCTAGTCGAATTATTTCATGCTTTCCATTCATACTCTCTTAAATGTTTATCTCGTTTCTCTTCTGTTTGGTTCAATATATTAGCGGTTGTTTGCGAAATTTTCTGGATTGAATGTATCGTTGATTTCAATTCCTTTCATCCTTTGTTTCCTCAAATCTTTTCTGTCAGTTTAATCGCATGTTTGAGGATGATGGAAGAGGGTCTAACGGGTTTTTATACACGTGGTTATAAAGAAGGGTATTATGCAGTTGAAAAATTCCTGATGGTGAGAAGCAGATGTTTACTTGCACTGAGGAAAGATATACCAGTCATCGATGAACTTACTTGCCGAGGTAACACTTCCAATGTTTCGTTTTAACCCGTGTGCTCTTGATCGTCCTCTTATTCAAATCTTCGCTTATCTATCTGAATGCAGATGGATTCTACAGAGTTAAAATTGCAGATTTGGCTGATGTTATGATAGAGTACAGTAAAGCAACACATTGGAAGTTCTATCGAGAGTTACGACATGTAGTACGTGGGAATATGGATAAGTTGAAGGCAGTGGTAATTAAACAGTTACAAGCAGCTGGAATATCCCTAGAACAAGTACCCAACTATAAGGAGATGCTGGCACGGGGCAATGCCTATGTCCTTCCGCATTTCAGTGATGATGATGATGATGATAATGATGATGATGATGATGATGATATGTTAGATGAATTGCAACATGCAGCAACGACCAGCTTTAATCGAACCGATAACGAAATGGCATATCACACAGGTAGAACACAACTTTCGAAAGATGTTTGTTCTCTTTGACGGTGTTGTTGTCGCGTTTCTGATGAGTGTGATTAGCATTGTAATAACACCATTTAAGAAATAAGATTGGACGACTGAAATGTCTAGTCACTTTTAATGAGACCAAACAACAACAAGCATTCAGTCGATTGACTTTCTCTGAAAGAAAAAGAATCCTAAAAGGAATGAATAATTCAGAGGGAATGATGAATGATGCAGATGGAGCACTGGAAGGCACGAGCAATGAGATCGATTATTATGATGTGGTTGAGAGCAATTCTGCAAAGAACTTTTGTGATGGTATAATAGAAATATCGAAAAATGAACTGGAGGAGCAGCGAAGTGAACGGGTGAGCGACTTAATATTATTGTTTCATCACGAAAATATTATGATTATTTCATTCTAAAGAAATTGTTATTTGATTGCAGGAAAACGACACCGGAAAAGAGAATGATGTGTGGAGTGAATGCGATGTGAAGGATGAAATAAAAACGAAAAGAAAGCATTCAAATCGTTTGAAAGATAATAATGAGAACGAAGTTTCGACTGGAGATAACGATAACGAATTTGGAAAGGATGAAGAGATCAGTGCGGATTTGAAGAGAAGAAAGAAGAAAGAGAAGAGGGATGCAAACGGGATCAACGATCGTCAATCGCCTGCGCCAACTTCTTATTTTGGTTTCATTAAAGTGGATAGCAGCGCTGAAAGGGAAAACATAGCGAAAAAATCAGAAAAGAATGATAAAAGGCATTCTAAAAAGGGAGAATCTGGTGGGAACGTTGCAGTGGTTGCGAGTGAAAGTGATCTCAGTGAGAATGAGAGGAAACGACTGAAGAAGCTGAAAAGAGACAAAAGGAAAGAACGCGAAGCTCGTCGTCGAATAGCGTCAGATTCTATCCAGGAGAATTCTTTCGGTGTTGATGGTGAAAATGCTAAATTAACGAATAAGCAGCATAAAAAATCGAAGAAGCGCAATCACAGTCATATTTCCGACTGCGGCATTGAACAGTCTTCTGCTGCAGTAACAGGAGAAGGTGGTTGCACGGAAACGTGTAAAAAGACGTCAGGGAAACGATGGCACAGTCAGACGGATGAGATTATCAACGAATCTACAAATGAAACTGATGAAAAAGAGCGAAAACGTCTCAAAA